GAGAGAGAGAGAGAGAGAGAGACAGGTAGAAAGAAAAAGAGAGACATACAGAGAGAGAGGCATGTTTTATCGTCTTTTGTTTCTCCGCGCGGTAAACTTTTCTGTTTAGAAACTATCCACACTTAGATCAGGTTGCTACAAATGTGAACCTCAAATCTTCCCTCCCATACCCTGTTCACTGCTAAATATCCCAAAGTCATTGGACCTCGGGGACCAGCTACTCTGGAGTAGCGGTTAGGGTCTTAGCAACTGCACGCAGAAGACATGAGTTCGTTCCCGATTAGACATATTGTTTATGAGGTAACGCTGTCTGATATGATATTGCATCCTGTCCTTATAATTTATTATCCCTACTACACTTATTTAATCAGACCCGGGGGCTGTGAAACAAGACAATGTTCGACCAGACTCTGTGTCAAAACATGAGCCTCCATAAACTTGTCAAATTGGAAACCTGTTAAGCCACTACAGTATCAGTATGTAACATTTTTCGTTTTACCCAATTGTGGTTTAAATTTTTAAAACTTGATAGTTCTCGAACACGTTAATTGATTTTCTTTACATTTAAAAACTTGACGTTTAATTTAACTTGGTGTAAATTCATTTGTTCAAAATTTTGTTGAAATTTGTTTAGAAATGACAGAGTTTATTACGCTTTAAAATGGCCCTCATTTCTGGACAGCCTGTACCAAAAAAAAAAGACTCAGATAGTTGCTCGCGTGCAACACACACGTGCCAGACTGTCTCTCTGGTCACGGCAAAATCCAGGAGATCTTCCGATCAATGACCTATTTCTTCGACAGCACTTTACACTGTTTGTTCTTAGATTGCGTGTCACTGGAAGATGTCCTAGCTTCCATCGCTGACTCAGTCGAGCTCACTGCCCCCCCCCCCCCAATCGTGTTACGTAGTATACTGATAGGATGATAAGACAAGGTAATAAATTTTCTTCTTTCGATGGCCACTTGACTCAGAAGAAAGTTGGGACAAGCTTTAAAGGCGACCTACAATATCCTAACTCAGGGTTCGCCCCTTTCATCTTTTCAATACTTCTGTCCTTGGCCGACTCTTCACCTCTTCACCTGATTGCGTCGTGGTCTCTTTTGTCGTACAATTGTCAAAGTGCTTAGGTCTATATCTTCGGAGAACATGAAACTGAACAACAAAGCCTTAACTCTACAGTCGTATATTGCTAGCCAAATCAAAAGTCTTTAACAACTGCACAGGAGTATACATTGTTGAGGGAGTAAGTTGATGGAAATTTTGCTTAGAGTTATTGTATTTTTATTTTAAAAGAAGTGTTCGTGTTTTCTGCACCAATCAACATAGTCTAGATCAGGGTTACTGTCTTCTTAGAGACTAGTTGAAAACAAGCGCAAAATATGATCGCTTTAGTTTGAAATTAATATCTTCAGGTCTAGCTTATATTCATTTTTGCTACCCGGTATGTATGTTTAGGGAACAACGTATTTCTCTTACTTCCCCCGAGGTACCAAAAACAACCATATGTATAAGAATTCAGTGTGCGAATCTGCAGATTTTGCATTCCAACGGAAAGATAGTGATACTCGATAAAATTATAGCCCTCCACGGAATTGTAGGCAGCAGGCAGTAGTAGGCACGTCTTTTATGTGCGACGGCCACAACTCAACCATTGCACCACAGGCGCCGGATGCTGCGTACAGTTAGGACACCAAGATAACAGGAGGTAATGAAACAAAATATTTGGGAGCTCCCAGAGCATTACGTCCAGACACGACCATACCGCCCCCCCTCCCCGCCCCCACTGTATTGACACATTTTATTCTATGATAGGTATCCTTACGGCATCTGAGCGTGGCCTCAAGCCATTGCCTACTTGGTTTTATCTTGTTGGGTTCTGAGGTCTCAGATTAATAATATTAACTCTTGCCTGCTCAAAAGAGATGTTGAATCCGCACCAACCTAAACAAATGCATTAGCAATGGGTAATGGCACAGGATTTGCAGAATGTGACTGTGGTTATTCATGTCCGTCGAGGTTAAATGTTGCCCGGGTGACTGTCCGTCGTCCTTTAATTTTGACCAGAACTGATTTTATGGCAGCAACAGATGATATCATTATTATAGTGTAGTCCCAGTAGAGTTGGCAAGGCTGTATGTGTACGTGAGTGAGTGAATGTTTGTGGGGGTGAGGGGGGACGGGGTGGGGTGACGGTTAAAAAACAAAAAAAGTGTGAGGGAGGATGGGGGTGTCTGCTTTGTCTCAGGAAACTGTGTCGCTTAGGCTACTCAATGAGCACAAAACTAGGTCTGTGATCGCAATATCGTGTTCGGAAGTCAACGAGGAAGGCTTTGTTTGGTGACGTGCTGCTGGCACTCAACCGAGTGGTTTTGTGTGTGTGTGTGTGTGTGTGTGTGTGTGTGTGTGTGTGTGTGTGTGTGTGTGCGCGCGCGCGCGCGAACGCGAGCACGCGCACGTGTGCGTGACAGAAAAAGATAGATAGATAGATAGATAGATAGATAGATAGATAGATAGATAGATAGATAGATAGATAGATAGATAGATAAGCATACATGCATGCATACAAGCATACATGCATGCATACAAGCATACATGCGTACAAACATACATAAATGTATACATAAATACATGCATGCATACATACATACATACATACACACACACACACACACACACACACACACACACACACATACATACATACATACATACATACACACACACACACACACACACACACACACACACACACACACATACATACATACATACATACATACATACATACATACATACATACATACATACA